AAAAACTTTTGCCAGAATATATGCGAATACACAAAGAACACAAAGAACATGAAAAACTCAAAATCCCAAGAAACAAAAAATTACTAAGTCAAAGGGGAAAAAAAAAACTTACTCATGATGAACCGTTGAATGGATCAGAGAAGATTTGATAGCCAGAAAAAGGACTTCGGGGTTGCAAAATGCCAAGAATGTTGAGAAGTCTAGAGTGCAGAAGTAATGAGGAGCGAAAGTGTTGAAATGAAAGCAGAGGAAGTATTTATACTCAACCTAACAGATTTGGACCCTTAAATCAGGATAAATTAAATGGCCTAAATCATGCACGGACATCAAGGACATGGTATACGAGGCAACAAAAGAGTCCTTTTAAATTTTCATTTATGCAAATGTCAGGTCTTTCAGAGGAATTTGACCGCCAATTTTATTCCTAAGCTCCAGGCACTTGGAGTTTTTCTTTTATTTATTTTTTTATTTTTATTTTTGTGAAGGGGGGAGGAGGGACTAGATGATATAGCCATATATATGGACTGGAAATCCAAGTATCTGGAGCTCGACCGGCTTAAAAGAAGAGCTGTCAGGATAAGATCGCCAACCTCAAATGGTTGGATGATCTCACTCTTGGACAACCTATAAGATTGATGGCCTATAGGAGCGACGACTTTAGGCCACGAAAACTAGCTAAACAACCTCAACACTCAATATAACTCGACCTCGACTGATGACCTGAGTAAAATACGACTTGGACTAGTAGGAAGCAAGGATAGGAAAGAATCTTAAGAGGATAAGATGAAATCTAAAGATGACTAAGAGATGATTAGGATATGGATAAACACTAAGTCCGGGTAGCAGGGCAGGCTGCCGGTGTGTGCATGGGCAGGTATCATCAAACCCTAATCTTATATTCTCCATACCTTACATTGCCCTAAGATTACAAAGCACTTTCTTCTTCTTGTCACTAACTTAGGCATCAGAGACTCTTCGCCGTAATCCCTTTGGACGTTGAGGTCTTGTAGGTACATGCACCACGATTTTGGCAGATTGTAGCTCTTCTTAATCGATTCTACTCAGATCCAAGTAGAGACCCATCACATACCTTATAAAATATAATAAGAAAATATCTATACCAATAAAGAGAATATGTAAGAAATCTCCTAATAACTCTCCGTCTCTTCTAATCAAATATTCTTGCTTATTTTATTCTACATTATCATTCGGATCCGTACAAGCTATAATTCCTATTACATACAGTGATAGAATAAATAAGATATGAAAAATTATGATATGAATTTTCCCTTTCCCGCATTAGTTCCATATTACCAATTTCAAACAACACAAATATTGTACATAAATATTATTTTTGGTTAATATTAGATTCAATTTTCTTATATAGTTATATATATAGGGAGTTGTTGGGATAAAAAATAATATCATAGTGTTTTTAAAATAGAGAGTAGATGTAGGGGAAAGTGGTTTAAAGACCATTTAAATATAGGAAAGTGAGTTGACTCGAGTTTATTCTTATTGGTATTACAGTTGATAATCCTATAACTGGTACCGCAGTAGCAACGGGCCGCCGGCGGGCCCATTTCTGCTGCGTCCAAATTTCTCTGTTCATCTCCATTTCTTCTTTCTTACGGCTTGAGAATAATAAATGCAGATAATTTCCATAGTCCAATTAAACTACGAATTGTGGAATAATAACAAATTCCGATCCCACCAACCCCACTTTCTCTCTCTACCCATTTTTTCCTTTGACACGGTCCTTTTCCCTCTCCGGATGGCGTGTGCATGGGCGTAGTGCGTGAGGACCTTCCACCTCGGAAGAATTTGAATATCCTTTGGAAAACCGCCGTCTGCGTTTTTTCTTTCTCCTTTTTGCTCCAGCGTTGAATTGTTTGTGGGGTAAAGTATCGCTTTCTGCTGTTTGCAGTGTTTTTGCCTTTCGTCTTCTCATCAGCCTTGTTCGCGTGATTTATCTCAAACGGTTTCTGATTTTCTTTTGAATGTACGGAATTTGGGGGAAAAACTAATTGACGAAATATGGGGTTTTTGGACAGATTTTCGGCGAATATAGCGGGCAGGATAATGGTAGGATCACAGATGGCTTCCATGGAGCTGAAACTATCGTTATCTAGTTTTTTCAGTAGAAGGTGATTGCGTTTTCCTCGTCTTCTTTCGTGATTCTTTGTCAAAACTGAGTTGCATATGGTAGACGGTGAAAATTCAAGAAAGATATATATTATTTGTGTATCCAAAATTTAAGGTCCTCGGCTGATACCCATGCCTAATTTGGAACTAGAATACTGGGTGCTTATCTTTATAAGCAAGAGTTTGGTAATTAATATCTCCTGTTAATTTTAATTTCCTGCTCTTATTTAATGTACCTTAATCTGCAAGATGAAGTTTATATATTATACATATGTGTATGTACATATATTCCTCTCAAATTTTACTTTTTGAAACTTTGTTCTAGTTTTATTATGTTTTCTACTTTGCCTTAACCGGTTTTACAAACTGCTGGTCCAAAATTAGTATACGCTGTAGTGCTGGCACATAGTCTGATAGTAAATCAAGAAAATATATTTTGGCATTATTATGAGTTCTGGTTTTATTTTCTTAGTGTTCATATGCTGCTGCTGCCATTTTAAATGCCTGTACTGTTCCTTAATTATTATTAGGAAACCATGTAAGTTTTTTACATTGTGCTTGCGTTCCGAAGGTCTTTCACTCAAGATGATGGGGAAGAGATTCTGAAGGAGTATTACATTCCAGACTATATACTACTTCCTGACGCAGAAACCAAAGAACGTTGTGACATCCCTGAATGCCCTGTGGTCGTGTTCATCAATGCAAAAAGTGGTGGGCAGCTGGGAGGTGAACTTTTGCTAACCTGCCGTCGTCTTTTAAACAAGAATCAGGTTTGTTTTTCAAATTTTCACTTCCCGCCACCGCATATAAAAAACTCTAAGAGGTACTCCCTTTTCTTCAGAACTTCTGAGACTTGGTCTTGATTTTTCAGGTATTTGATCTGGGGGACAAGGCACCCGATAAAGTGCTCCACCAGCTTTATTTCAATTTGGAGAAGCACAAGCGAAATGGAGATGACTTGTCTGCTGAAATTCTAAGAAAATTACGTGTCATAGTAAGTCAAGCTACCTACTCATGACCAATGATAACCTGTCATTTTGTAAAATCAAAAGGTTCTGTAAGAAGTGTGCAAAATATCGGAGCACCCTTTGGCCAAAACAACAACTTTTGTGAGAGCCAGCAGTTTTGCTATTGGTAAATCTCATTTGTGCATGATCTGTTTGTAGGTTGCTGGAGGGGATGGAACAGCTGGGTGGCTCCTTGGAGTGGTTTCTGATCTTAATCTATCACATCCACCACCAATTGCTACTATGCCATTAGGAACTGGGAATAATATCCCCTTTTCATTTGGTTGGGTAAGATTAGACCTCATGACATGGCCTGTTGTGCTATTTTTTTCAATACGGTAACTGGAAATAATGAATGAAATGAAGATATTCTTGTTATAAAAATTTCTTTCATTACTTTTAGGGGAAAAAGAATCCCGGCACAAACTATCGATCTGTCAAGGCATTCTTGGAACAAGTAAAGCATGCAAAAGAGATGAAAGTTGACAGGTCTCGATTTTCTATTCATGTTTCTTAAGTCGAAATATTTGCTGCTTGGCTACCAGATTAGTGATAGTGTCAGGTTCAAAGTCACTTCTCTACATGTCTTGTGGATTGGCCCTCACAGATATGTTTATGTGCTGAAACTATACCATACATGCATGTTTTGCCCCTTAAATGATCTCTTTTCTCCTTTCTGATCTGAGCCAAATTCGGAATTTGATCCAGTTCTTTTGCGATATCCTTGTGATATCTAAGAATATTCAAGATCCTGATGATTTATGATAATAATGTTGGCCTTCACACAAATAACAAACATATGTTTGCTAAATAGTTAAGAAGAGTCTGGAGTCACTATATTTGTAATTTATGAGAGAGAGAGAGAGAGTACCAAGAAGAATGATGTAACTCTTTGATTCTGTGTATGCAATTTTTCTCCTCACATTTAATTTAATTTATTAAAAAACAAATCTCCAAGAATCACGTTTCTCTATTTTTTATTCAGCTGGCATATTCTCATGAGGATGAAGGCTCCTAAAGAAGGTCCATGTGACCCTATTGGACCTCTTGACTTACCACACTCATTGCATGCCTTTAACCGTGTCTCCCCAGCAGATGAAATGAATGAGGTACTAAACTTGTCATTGTATCTATAACTTCATTACAATCTGCCATATCTGGGAGTAAGATTCTCCTGTATATATTATCTCCTAGAAAAATGAGGCAATGAGATATTGAAATGGAATGACATAAATGCATGTGGTCTTTGGATGATCAGAGAAATTGACCTTTTTGTTATTTCTGATAAGGAAAAATTTCTCATGACAAAAGTTTCCTCTGTTCATTTTCTAATACATTCATGAAAATCTTGTACTATCATTTATTTATGAAATTCTATTTTCTATCACACTTCAGTGACATGCGTGGCCGATATTACATAGGCTCTGTTAGATGCTGTCTGATCAGCGCATTTATAAGTCCCCTTGAGATATTTAGTAATGTGGTTCTAGAAGAAATAAGATTCGCTAATCATAATTATCCATGTTTCAGGAGGGATATCACACATTTCGAGGGGGATTTTGGAACTATTTTAGCATGGGTGAGTTCATGTTTTCTAATTAATGTTTCTTATTCTGTTTGGTTTAGTGATATTAAGGAATCGGGTTTACCTTTCAGCTCCATAGAAATATAAAAACCTCAGTATTTTATTTACTGTGCCTATTTGTCCTTGGTAGAGGCGTAGAGCCAAATTATGACATGAAATTCATGTATGTTTACTGATACGCCTTTCATATTTCTTGTGATGCTTTCTTGTTATGTTCATTTAGACAGGTTCAGGCAAACTCTGCCCTTACTGCTATAACAATAAGTCGTGAGAATTAAAGCTGTGGTCATAAATTTTGTTGATCTTTTACTTGATTTGGTATGCATGCATGCAATAAAACTGAAGCGAACATTGTTTTCGTTAAAAATTATGAACAGCTTTTTCATCTCCAACTCAATTTTGTTTTTTGCTTAACTTTTATTGTTCTTTTTTGAGTTTATCAGTTTCTTTGGTAACTTATTTACAATGATATCTCTTTGAAGGTATGGATGCCCAGGTTTCTTATGCATTTCACTCGGAGAGAAAATTGCATCCAGAAAAGTTTAAGAATCAGTTTGTTAATCAGGTGCACACCCATCTTCATTTCTTACTATGCCGCCGTGTTATTAGAACTTCAAACGACAGTTGAAGCTTATATTGATATAATATGGATAGGTAGAATAGGCAGTCTCCCGCAATACTCTCTTCGTCTTCGTTTTTAGAAGGAAAAATCACTTGAAACACTAGCCTCCTAATGAATTCCATCTTTGAGGAGAGTGCATTTGAATAGTATTGTAGAGGTGTCTACCATTGCGGAAAGTATGGCGGGACTGGATATTACATAATTAAGTTCTTCATCCACCATATTTAAAATTTACGATTCACTAACCTCACTTTTTCTCCTTGTTTCTTCTTAGTTTCAACACAAATTTTAAACTAAAAATCAATCATTTGTTCACATTTCTCTATAAAATTTACTATTCAGCCACACACACTTTTACAACTACTAATCATTATTTTTACTATTTCCCTATCACATCAAAATTAATTATTTCTCTTCTTATCACATCATTTCACATCATAAAAATCATTAATTCATCCGCAAAATCTTCTTTCTCTAAAGAATTTTTTTCCTAATAAAACCATATCCAACTGCACCCTTAGTATTCTACTTGATCTCATTGTGGGCACCGCAACTTGAAGTTACTAATTCCATTGTGCAAATGGGAGACATTTTTGTCATTTATAACATGATTTTCTGTGGATAACATGAAATTAAGAATTAAATCTTGCAAGGAAGGTCGAAAATTTTTGGTCGTGTTTTAATGCTTTCTTAATCGAATGCTGGCTCATTTTTCCCAGACCATTTTCAACTTAAAATATTTTTATTAATGTTAGGTAATGACTATCTTGAGACCATTAATTAACAAACAGAAACTGGAAAATCAGAAGACAGAAGATGCTTAACTAAGCTATGTATTTTAAGACAACTATTCCATATGTAGACTTGACTGCAAACTTTTCCATGGTGACAGATCATATTTCAACATGCAGTTTCTTTGTACCTGAGATCCTTTGATATCACATCAGTTTGATTTACTCTTTACCTGTTTCTTGCGAGCTGATAGTTTTGGTTTTACAATTTGTTCTCCCTATTAGTGATTATCTTTCAATTCATGTAGACTACTTATGCAAAGATTAGCTGTAAGCAAGGATGGTTTTGCACGTCCCTCAAGCATCCATCTTCAAGGTTGCATCAACACACCTTCTCTTTTTAATGGTCTGAGTTTTCCAATCATTCTTATCATGTTTGGAAAAATATCGCCTTTTGATTAAAGATTGATTTTTTATTTTTCTTTTTATAAATAGAAACATCGCCCGGTTGGCGAAGGTTAAAATCATGAAAAAACCAGGTGAATGGATAGATCTCCACATACCACGGAGGTAAACTTACTTGGTTTCATTTCATTCTCCCTTTTGGTTCATTTGGAGTTGTTATTTAACTAAGTTTGCTATTTATTTCAGCATCAGGTCCATTGTCTGCATTAACTTGCCTAGTTTCTCTGGGGGCCTTAATCCTTGGGGAAGACCCAGCAAACAGAAGCTTCATTCAGTCAGTATTTCTTCAATCAGGCTAATCGTATATATATAAATACAACTGGAAAATAAAAACTTAATCGACCACCATTCTTTGTTAATAATGTGCTGACCCTTGGTACCTGTTCTTGGCAGAGGGACTTGACTCCACCATACGTTGATGATGGGTTTTTTGAGGTAGTTGGTTTTCGGGATGCGTGGCATGGGCTTATCTTGTTCGCCCCTAACGGCCACGGGACTCGTCTTGCACAGGTAGGTTACTTCTTCTCAAATTGGGCAACTCATTCATATTTAATTCAATTTTCAGTTTGCACTTACAGACATTAAGGGAAACTTTGGGGAGCGTTCTGTGAAGATTTACTGAAAAAAATGTATTAGTGAAGAATGCTTCCTGATGTGATACATTTCGATTTTATTTCTACTAAAACAATCAGGGAATAGGCAACAAAGATTTGTCGACTTACTCTACCCTGTTTTGTAATTTAATTAAAATAATACCCCACTTGTATTTTAGAATCACAGAGATAAACCTTTGAGGTTGGTATGCATCCAACAAATGGCTCTCTCATGAATACAAATAAATGCTGGGAGTTTATTGTAAATTTGAACAATAACTGAATTCCTTTGCCTATTAGAGTTAACCTCAGTGGTATTATTTGCTATGATCCATTTTTCCTATTTATTTGCTCATTTTTGACATTGTCACAGGCGAACAGAATCCGTTTTGAGTTTCGAAAGGGTGCCACCACACACACGTTTATGAGGATCGATGGCGAGCCATGGAAACAGCCCCTTCCAATGGATGACGACACCGTAATAATCGAGATCTCGCACTTTGGCCAGGTCAGCGTCCTCGCTAACGTGCACTGCCAGTCAAGAAGCATAAACATGCAATACTCTCCTTATTCGCCACACAGTTCGGAGGAGGATGGGTCCAACCGCAACGAGGAATTATCCCAAGAAGGCTCGGAAGAAAGGAAAAAGTTTGGGGCAGCTGATACTTTCCAACTGCCGGACGATTTCAATGTTGACTGTCTTAGTTGACCAGGTTTTTCTGCGGAAGGTAGCCAACTAACTTGTAACTGCGAATTTGCGTCAGATAAATCACAATACATTGAGTTGGTACAGGAAATGACCTTTTCTCTTATTTTTTGTCTTTATGTGCTGATTGAACTTTCTCCGGGATACAGTGCTGATTGAACTTTGTTTAAGGTACAGAATTCTCTGGGATCTAATTAGTGATGATTGAAGTTTGTTTAGGATACAGAATTCTTTGGGATGTAATTAGGTTTAATTGAACTTTGTTTAGGATACATAATTCTCTGGGATGTAATTAGTGATGATTGAACTTTGTTTTGGATACAGAATTCTCTAAAATATAATTTTGTGCAGTAGGTGTCGACTAAATAACTACATTGCGTATGAATAATGTTCTTCTCTGTTGATTTTATGGGAGGTGTAAGGTGAGGATTTTACCTGGGGCCATGTTTTCTTCAGTAAGAATGGAGTTGCAAGGAGTGTTTGGTTGTGATTAGAGCCGAGCATGGGACTCGGAGAGTAATTACTCCGAACCGAAAAATATCCGTTGACCGTTTGACTTTCTCCGAACCAAAAAATAATTGGTACGGTTCTGGAGATTTCATAAATATTCGTACCGAGAACTGGACCGTCCCGTACCGTACCGAACCGAAGATCTGAAATTAGGAACCGAATTATAAAAATAGATAGGTGCTATTAATATATTTTATGTCAACTTTGATCCTGTATAATTTGATAATTTTTAAAATGCAAATAAAATATAGTGTTAACAATTAAGATTCACTTACATTTCATGTTTAGTAATACTTAATCTACAATTGAATTTCTCCTGTTTAAAAAAAAAAAAAAATGGAATGAAAGGTTAAGATATAGATATTTAAGCTTTAATTAAAGTTGTCGATACTTAGCTTTAGTTGATCTTATAACTAACATGGTATGGAAGGTTAAATAAATATTACTTTAATATAAAACTGTATTATATTTTGTTTGAATTTTAATTTTTCAATGTTAGTTAAATTTAGTCTTAACTAAAATTTAGGGTTACTTCTAAAGTTGATTTAAAAATAAAATTTTTAGTATGATGAAGTATTGATGAATGTTAGATTTAAAAAAAGAAAAAACATATATAAAATAAAATATAACTAGGTGGTCATTCAAAAAATTTAAAAAATAATAAGAAATATCTGAACCGAACCAAACTGTTCCGATAGTCTCGAAAACCGAACCGAAAAATAAAAATCTTCGAACCGAACCATTTCGATAGTCCCAAAACCAAACCGTTCCGATAGTCCCGAAACCCAACCGATCTATCCGAACATGAATGTAATAGAACTGCGGGTCAGTAAAATTATAGGGCAGTTTGTTCGTTTTTGCTGTCCAAGTTCATTGGCACACAGCAATATAAAAACCAGTTGCAGTCCACTCCAAATCCATGGGCTTCCCCTTTTCTGTTGGTGAAAAAACCACCAGTTTCTTTACTAATTGCTACACCAAACGTTTTTCCCAATATATATATATATATATATCACAACTCCCCCAAATTCTCCAACACAAGAATTTCATTTTTTTCACTCCAAATTACTCTCTCCTCGATAGACTTGAATTAGCACTTCAAACGACACAACTCTCAAAAAAGGAAAAATGAGTTCGAGAAGCAAAGCCTGGTTAGTGGCAGCAAGCATTGGCGCAGTTGAGGCCATGAAGGATCAATTGGGCGTCTGCAGATGGAATTACAGTCTGAAATTAATGCAACAACATGCCAAGAACAATCTTAGGACATTTTCTCAGACCAGGAAAATCTCTGGGTCAACTTCTGGTGTGGTTTCAAATAAAATGAAGTTGGAGCAATCTGAGGAGTCTCTTAGAAAAATCATGTACTTGAGCTGCTGGGGTCCCAATTAGGTCTGCCCGTTGTAGATTTTTAACAAGATTGAAGTTAAATAGATGGTTAAATCTTCTCAAAATGCAATCTTTATTGGCTATTGCAAGCCCTCCCTATTTATTTTATAGTTTTCTCCTGGGTAAACTGGATCTTGATTTAATTTGGGTTTTGGAATAACAGAGACCGTATAGCAATTTAATTCCCTCATAATAATATCAACTGAAAAAAATAGGGTTGTACCAAAAAAAAAAAAAATGAAATTATTATGAATCAACAACTGAAAATGAAATTAGAAAATGAAATGTATCACCTCTTTCCAGCTAAGAGAAGGATTAATTATTATGAATCAACAACTCTGCTAAGTGGCATTCCTTGCAGTTTCAGATACGATGCGGTTATATAATCACCCACCTGAATATGATTACTCAAATCGTGCATAAGGTGGCAATCCTATGGACCCTATCATCCTTCCTTCCAGCTTGCATCAACTGGGTTCATTGTTTCAAAAAAATGTTGTCCAAACTGATCGAACCTACTCTCCTTTGTCCTTAAATCGATTTGCTCTTTGGAGACCAGCAAAATACGCCGAGAGGTATTCGGCATTCCCCCAGCGTAAAAGTTAAAATCTTCGATAAAGGACTATGAAAAGTTGTATAAAGTGTGTATAATGGTATTATAAAGCTTAAAGTTTGTATATTGTCATAACCTCTACCATTCATACATTTTGCTTATTTATATTGAATCCTTGGCTTCTTGAACAAACTTTGTCCTACCCAGCTGCCTGAAGGCCTGTTCGAATACCCTTATTGCTCGATGACCTGCTCAACGATTATTTGGCTACCCCTAGGTCTACTCGAGACCCATTTTTATACGTAGAATTATCTAAATATTTTCCGTACAACCTGTTCCATATCAACAGGTCTCCCTATCCTTTTCTTACTCTCTTAACATCCATAAGTCCTCCTCTTGACTAAGTCTTCATAGGTCGACTTATACCACATGAGTCTTAATGTAGCACACAAAATAGCTCGGCAGATCGACCTGAACATATAACTCAGCTACGCCGATCGACTTATCTTTTATGATTGCTTTGCAAATGCCCTTGTATTATAACTTATTAAATAATAACATTCAATTTATAAATTTTTTAAAATAAATACATCCCGGGTTACAAACTAGTTTACCCTAAAAAAAATTTAGTTAAATTTGATCTCAATAGTCATTACAATTTATATATATCATCCTCTGAACGACATAAAACCTCCCAAAGTTCTCTGCAGCAACTCAACACATGTCGCATCCACGACGGAGCGCGCGACTGAAGTGGATGGAGGCGGCGGCAAAGGCGGTAGAAGAAAAACACTACTCTCGCCAGAAAAAAGCGCCGTGAAATTCGTTGTGTTTCGCCGCCTTTCCCACTCGATGTTTGTTCTTCTGAGTTGATTTTATGTCCTTTCCTTTTCTCAACTCCTCAAAATTTGAAGTATATGAAGGAAACGTTTAAATATTGCGGGACGAACATAACCACTTTATATTTTATTTATTTTATTCTGCTAAAACATGATTATGCTTAACAGATTTCTATTTTTATGTTTGAATAATTCTTGTGGAGGATGTACATTCCACTGAGTGCGGATTTTGGTCTGATAATAGCAAGTTGCAGCTAGAGGCTACTTCTTATATGCTAAATTTGGTTTCTCTTGGTGTGGATAGAATCATATTCTTCTGTCTCTCTCTTNATGTTATTCAGCAGTAGATCGCAGTAGATTCTTTGTTTTATGACTTATACTTGATAAAGGGATGTTTTCTTTTTATTCACAGAAGACTACCCTGTAACTGATGAAGTTGTTGAAACTGAAGGTGTTCATCGTCTTCGTTGAATTCCTTGCATGGAATGATTATTCCGAGCTTCAGGTTTTCGTATTGTATGCTTTATGGGCTTCATTTCAGTGATTGTTTTAATCTCCTTAATTGGAACTATTGGTCCTTTCTATTAACTGGTGATTAAGATAAATTTAACACAAAACACGTAATAGTCTTACAAAGACCTAGACAAGCAGAGTGGGTCTTTGGGGAGAAGCAAAGATGTAGGTTTGTTTCTGACATCTGATTTTTTCCTATTGCCATTGTTCTTCAGTGCCAGGCAGCCTGTCTTCTAAAAAATATGTCTGCTGGAACATCTGAAAACACCAAGATTATAGTTGACTGTGGGGCTGTCCCTGTATTTGTGAAACTTCTTCAATCTTCACAACTCTGTGAGGTGGTGGGTTGCAAATTTTTATTCTTACTTCATTGCGCTTTTTCAGGAGTTACCATGCGCTTATGTTTTTGTGTTTATTCCAGTAATTTTCTCGAGTTATTTGGCTTAAATTGCTCATTTTTAATTCTCTTTCGATCATTGTCGGCTTGTCATTCAGGCTGCGTGGGCTTTAGGAAATATTGCCGGTGATTCTCATGAATGCCGTGATGTTGTTCTGAACAATGGAGCATTGCAACCTTTGTTGGCTCTGTTAAAAGAGCGTACTTATATCTATTTTCTAAGGATTGGTACATGGGCCTTGTCAAATTTTCTTGAGGGAAAACCTGAAGTCCCACCTGAGCAGGTTGAATGTTTGGCACTTCAACATTCTTTATGATTTGTTATTCAAAAGCATTTCTGCCATTCTAAATGGATATTCTGTGTGTTGGGTGTAGCTCGAGTCTGCAATTCCCATTCTTTCATCTGTCATCCTCAGACAGGATGAACTGGTCCAGAAGGAAGCATGTTGGGCCTTATTTTTATCTTTCTCAGTTTGGAGGTGGAATAGAAACGCCCATGTTTGAAGCTGGATTGTGTGACAAGATTACTGCGATATTCCACTAAGTAGACCTCTTTTCTGTCTTTTTTTTTTTTTCTTTCAAGTTCGTTTCCTAATGTTGCTTATTCATGTCTAGTCTTTGTCTCTTGATTTGTCTATTTACTCTTCAGGTACAATCCTTCAACTGTGCTGATACATGCTGTTCGAGCGCTTAAGTGTATAGTGAAAGGGGCTGAGAAGTTGGATGAGGTATTGAGCCTCTTGTTCTCCACTTTAAATTCTTTCTGCATATACATGAATATGGGAAATAGAAGGCTAATTAATACAGGACAGGGTAAACACGGTTTTGCACTTACCAATTCGGGTTACATAAATAGCTTGTTTGAGAAATGAGTTTGATGATAAAGTGAGGAAATCAGGATTCTACTTTTGCTTATTTAGCTTGATTGGACATAATTAAACAATTTGTTAAGGCAAGTAAGTGTTCAGAATTAGCCCTGGACAGGTGCGCGGCTATTTTTTTCTGTGTGATTAATCCATATAAACACATATCTTGAGAATTCTAGAGATCTGTTGATACTGGATTAAAAAGAAAATTTATTTTACTGTTTCATGTTTTTACTAGTTTCTGAACATCTGAAGCTCGTACGTGCATTGATTTCGTGATAAATATGAACATATGTTGAGCTAATAACCTGGTCAGCTTTTAGATTGGCTTTCAAAACAAAAATAATATTATCTTGCTATACTAAATTGAGCTTTATGTTGTGCCCAGCGTGCTATTGAAGTTCATCATTGCCTCATTCACGCATATAGGAAAGATTCAACCTCGTGCATCTTGAATGAGGCTCACGAAATCAAATGTTTTTTGGATAATCGTATGTCGAGTATAGTAAACGAGTATAGTAAATGGTATGGACGCTCACAGAAAGATAGCTCGTTTAGCTCAAGATGTGTGACTTATGCGAGGGTAATTTGTGGAAACTTGTTCTGATATTCTTTCTCATTTTCTTCAGGTTCATGTCAGTAGCAAAAGTTGACTATAAGATAAAAGTTTTTCTCCTCTGGAGAAGTGAATATTAATTTTCATTAATATTCTTGGAATTTGTTTACAGTGTACTGTTAATTTATCTTTATAAATTCTCTCATCCGTGGAGTAGAAAAAGGGCTAAAGTACACAAATAAGCCATTTTGGTTTCTCTTTTACAATTTACATATAGATGAGAATGTTTTCAAAATACCAAACATGATCTTTATTTTCTTTTTTTCAAAACGATAGAAGTTATAAAAAAACACGTAATTACAACCGACTAACTAGCCAAAAGTTATAAAAAACACGTAATTACAACCGACTAACTGGCCAAAAGAAGGAAGTCTACCGAAGGTAGCCCAATTCACAATAAACTACAAAAAAAATAAAGGAAAATTATACACTCACTAATGGAGAATACACACTCCTCTACGGAAGAGTACACACTCCTAAAGAAGAGAAAAAAACACAAAAGCACACCTACAACACTAGACAAATAAATAAAACTATAACCCTCCCCACAGGACGACAAGAACTCCACCTACGACCCAAAAGCTGCACCCAAAATTCTAATCGCCAAACAAATGGTGATGGCTAACAAGGAACCACCAAACCTCAAACTGGACTCAGGGTCGACCCTGGGTGCCCGGCCCGCCCAGGGCCCCTGCTAACCCAGGGCCTACTTTTATTATATGTTTTTGGTGATGGCTAACAAGGAACCACCAAACCTCAAACTGGACTCAGGGTCGACCCTGGGTGCCCGGCCCGCCCAGGGCCCCCTGCTAACCCAGGGCCTACTTTTATTATATGTTTTAATAATATATATATATATATATTATTATATAATAAAATATTGAATAACAAATTAATCTTAAATCTTAATGTTTTTCTTTACACTAGGCTTTTCATATTTATTCAACTTATAATATTAATGACAAAACTAAATAGTAGGTATTATAAGTGAAATTAATAACTTTTTACATATTTTCTCTTAATCTTCTATATGTTTTGTTAATTTTCTTTTCTTGCTTGGATATACAAAATGTTATTTGATGATTGCACAATTCAATTATGTAGTGATAGTCAATATATAAAAGAGTTAAATGAAATCTACTCATTTTCGGACGAAATTCAATTTAAATTTGTTAGTTAACTTTGTTAAATATAAAATATAAACTAATACTTTCCAATAAAAATAATCTATATAATTATAACTGAATATTATGTACTCCACTAAACGTAACTTATATATTTAAGTAAAGGAAAGTTTGGAGATTTGACTGCTTTTTTTTTCTTTAAATAAAAAGGATTTTCTCCATTATTTTCATTTATGATACTTAAGAATTTCTCAAATTTTATTCATAAAATTTAGCTATATTTTTATTTTAAATTTCACTGCTTTATTATTTGCTAGTACCAAAGACAATATTTAACACATTTCCATCAGAGCCTTATAAAGCTCATGACCGACTCTGACTGGACTCCCCGACCATAGGGGTCACTCCAGGGGCACCCCAAGCCCAACACCAAACCCGCATCCCAACACAACCCTCCGAAGAAAGAGAGACGCCCCTGTCGAAGGGAGTCCGCCGACCCCTCCCCAGAGAACCAACAACACCATAGACGAAATAAGCTCGACCTTCGTGCCTTGACCGACGTGACTCCGACTCAAACTTCACTCGTCATCAGCCAAGGGAAGAAACACCTAAGTGGAAGGAGACAGAGACATACCTGAGAAGACAGCGGCCACCGCTAAACCCGTTTCCTCGGCGGTGCGGTAGAGTACACTGGAGTTGGAAGGCACACCAGACCGATGAGGGTTTTTGCAAGCGAATTGGAGATTTTTTGGCTTAGGAGAGAGAAAAAAATACCAAACATGTTGAATTGATTATACTTTATAAGAGCATCTTTAATGGGTAAGGTTTATAAACCTTACTTTTTTAGATTCTCAATACTCCACATCATCTAAACTTCATTCTTACTCTCAATATCACAAACCTCCAATAACCATTGAAGGTCGAATGTTAACCAAAACTGTATGCTATAAAATATANGCCTCATTGAATATTAACCTCATCTCGGATGAGGAGAGCAGTGGCTTAGTAATTATCCTCTTTTATAGGGGGAGTGTACCTTATGGCCCAAGTTGGCTTGTCCAATAGCACCATGCCACGTGTTCTGGCCATGTGTAGGCTTATTCTTCAATGTATTCTCTTTTTATCCATTAAACACGGTCCAGTATAATATCCCATATCAGATTTAATATACTATTTACAAATGTAGTTAAATATTAACAAATCGAGTGCTAAAACAATATTTTTTTGAAAAATTTAGTATATGTTTTACAAATGTTGACCTTATGTTTCAAAACTTCTGTTCGCATAGTTGAGTTGACTAAAAGATTATGTTAAATCAAATAACTGTAACGTCTACAATAATTGCTACGATATTGAACACAATAAATAAGTTATAGCCAATTTTAACACAATCAAACATTAATACCAAAGACTTGTATATTTTGTGAAACAAAAAAAATAAAAAATATAATAAATTGAAATGTAATGTCTTTTGGCAGGAATGCCACGTAGGTATAATTAAATAAGTTTTATTTAATGCAGCTGCCAGCAATTATATATAAATATAGATAGGGAAAAGTTCATGTCACCTGCATGAGTGGCACCCATACCCACTTAAATTATGATAAGAGTCCTCTTCATGTTGCTATGTGCAATATTTATTTAAATTATGGCATATCAAATATATATTTATGTTTAAAACCTTATAAAAATGTTGAATTATAATTTGGTATGATAGGAGGCTAGATGGTATCAGAGCCTAGGTTTTATTCAGAACTCTTAGATGAACTTATTATATGAAAATTAAATTTAGAAGGAGAAATAAGAATGGATAGTGAAATTGTTCAAATTTTGTGCACTATTGCAAGGTATCTTCAAATTTTGAAGATCTGCGGACATGAACACTAACAAATGGTTGTCTGTTGGGATAACCGTTATGTTGAACAAGTTATGATAGAAGTAGATAGAATTACTACTAGACTCTGTTAAAAACAAAAGAAGTACCACACGGATGTCCTCTAGGTAAACCGATTGATACAAATTCATTTATTAAATCACCAAGAAAAGTTCATTAGAATCATATTGAAGGATGAGTTACAATAACCTGTTGAACTGAAAGGAAGTTATTCCAGACTCCTCTAAGTATGCAGAACTCTAACAGATGGTCCTTGGAAAAATCCACCAGATACAGAAGGTGGAAGAAATCATAAAAAACCACAAAGAGACACTAGATATGCATATAAGTATCCAGAAACAAGTTACTTCCTTGGAAGAAAAACTCAGTACTTCTGGGGGGTGAAGAAAAGTAACTTTTGGAACGGCAACCTTTTTTGTGCTTGAATAATCGTATAAAATAATCCGGCTAACCTTCCTTGAGACACGACCCGGTGTTCGAATCTTTTGATTTAATTCCGGTAAAAATAACTACAACAAGGAGCAAAAATCGGGCGAAAAGTACGAAATCGCAGGAAATCTTCATCGCCGATGATGGCTTCATCTTTTTATCCTGATATCATATATATACATCTTTAACATATATTGTACATATACTGATAATATACTGTACATATACCACAATATATTGTACATATACCACAATATATTGTACATATACTGTATATACCCGACAAATCGCGCGAGTTCCTACTGCCCTTGGCTGAAGTTGGCCGTCCGATGACCCCGCCACTCCCAAGCCGAAAGGAAGCCAAAATTTTCCGATAGGAGAGGATCGACGAATAGATTTTTTTCGAGTAGATCTGGTGATTTTGATCTTCGCCATTGAAGGAGAGGTTTTCTGTAGAAAAGGGAGTTGAACGTGGGGCGGTGGGGAGTGGTTTTGCAGAGTGAGAGAGGATATATATTGGTATGATTGTTTTGGTAAGTATATATTTAATCTCACTTAATAATTTCAATTGCATTTTATTTGCCAAAAATTTCTTAACGGACGGTTAGATATACTAGTCAAATCTTAGGTAAAATTGTAATATTTTTTGCTTGATTTAGTAATTTTATAAATAAAAATATAATGATTATATAAATGTAATATAAATCATATTTGAAGGTGTTGGGTGTAATTTCCTCAATAATCAATTAGTTATTCGTTTAAAATATTTACATGGACAAACAGTAATCCCGGTATTAACGAATCCGCCAAACACACATAAAGCATAAAGCCCACAGAAAAAAAAAAAATAATAATATAAAAGACGCCTCTTTCCTAGAAAATTACGTTAAACAAAATTAAAGGAAATTAATGCAGCCAGAAAACTGTGGGTTGTATTGTACACAGAAAAAGAACAGACCAGCTGATTTCTACTCGTAGAAAAACAAAAAGCAGCTAACTTTCAATTCCAAATAATCTCAAACTGAACAAAACACCCTATATATATAATAACACACCATTAATCAAGATTTTCAACCCACCAAACCCCACAAAAAATTCACAGACCAAAACTTGATCTCCCTTGGCCTTCCTTTTCATACACACACACAATAACACAATTTCACACACAAATACAAATTAAATAAATAAAGAAAAAAGAATGAGTAGAGCAGCTAGAAATGGTTGGATAGTAGCAACAAGCATTGGAGCAGTTGAGGCACTGAAAGATCAATTGGGCGTTTGCAGGTGGAATTATGGTTTGAGATTAATTCAACAAAATGCCAAGAAAAGTGTCCAATCTTATTACAGCGCACTTCTTGTTTCTTCCAAATCCAACTCAGCTTCTCCGTGTGATGGTCACAATGTGATGAGTATTGGAAAGAAGATTGAGAAAAGGGAAAAGGGTATGAAGAAAGTGATGGATTTGAGCTGTTTGGGCCCAACTACTGTTAGATTCTGATCATCAATAGGCACCATTGGTTGGTTTCAGTTTGCAATTTTAGTGTGTGTGCAGTGTGGCTTCCGATGTATTAGAAAATTTTAGAGAGAGTGTGTGTGTGTGTGTGTGTGTGTATTAAAAAAATGGAACTTAAGAGTGTTTTTGTTTATAAATTATTTCGATTCATATTTAGGGTGTGTTAGTTTATAAATTATTTTTTAATATTGATTGCTCTTGTCTATACTTGGTTTCTTCACATCCACGGGAAGGAACTTTGTCATGAAGAGAGAAAAAATAAAGATGAGCAAGAGGTTATAGAAAACACTAAAGAAACAAAAGCAGCCTAATTAATCAACCAGACTCAACACATCCAAATGCATCTTTCAGTAGCCCTAAACAATACAAAAGCATGGATCGATATAGAAAGAATTTCATCAAAGAACCAACACACGCAAACAGGGCCGAGTTAACTCAATCGCTGCCCACACAGAAAGAAACCCATACACATCAATTATGTAGCAATACAAACACATCATATCAAATCTTGTCCGGCACCTGAATGCTCTGTGAACCGCATATACGGTGAGAAGAGTTCTCCACAAACACGGCCAGCCCACATTTGGCTGCTTTGAAACCCTCCCACAACGAGAAATTCACAGTCCCTGATATTGTTTTCTTTGCGGATGAGTCCTTCACGGAGCATAGCTTCTCAAGTCGCCGGACAACATAGTCGTTGGCCAAAATCCGGCCTTTGTTGGCTCCTTCTTGGCAATTGGTGACCAGACCAGATTCGTATAGAGCCACCATCACGTTAGCACCCGAGTGGTCGACTTTCACCCTCAGAGGCCCCGTTAATGATACTTGAAGTGAATCGGGTGACGCCATTTGGAATGTCGCCTGTCGAAAGTTAAAACATAGTAAATTAGCAATATTGTAATTCTCGAATTTGACCAACCAACAATCCGTTGGTTGTCGACCTTCCTTTGAAACCACAACCGACAAAGTTCAGTTTGGTTAACATATATATAATTTAGTTGGCTAATTGTTGCTATTTGGTCGAAAATTCCAACGAATATTTCATAGAAAAATTGAACAGGGTCACATTATTCTTGAAAATCAATTATTCTCATCATCAGAAAGATTAATGTGGGTTGTATTTTTATTTCTTGATAGCATTTCAATTTTATAACATATTAACTTAAATTTTCAAAATAAAATTACGTGGGATCTAAATATATATTAAATTACAAGTCAGAACATTATCACACAAGAAGCTGACATCATATCATGCTGGAGATTTCATAAAAGTAATTGAATGAATCAATATTTTAGCAAAATACATTAACAAAAAAAAAAAATTAATCAAAATCGTGATGACCTGGAAGGCGGGTCCAGGGAGTGTGGGTGCGGAGACGATGGAGGAGAGCATAGACTCCTCCTGATTGGCGAGGCATTGGGCCTGGCCTTGGACCACCAATTGGGGCGTGAACATTGTGTCGAGGTTGAGGGCCTCCACGTAGGCCTTCTGGCGGACGGTCCATTGGGCCGAGGCGAATGGGTCCTTCCAGCCCATATAATCCCAATAGTCGACGTGATAAGCCAGCAGGAGCAAGGGCACGCTCAAGTTGAAGTCGCCCCTGCCCAGCCGAGAGAAGAGCAGCTCCGCCTCCGGAGAGGTGGCGCAGCCCTGGGACGAGAAGAGCTCAACCAACACCGGCCCGCCCCTCCGGTGCTCCTCCCCCGACAGATCCGCCGCCGCCGCCTTGCTGTGGCTCTCGGGATCGGAGGAGCGCCTGCCGAAACAGCTCAACAGACGGGGCGCCATTAGCTGAACGACGGAGAGAGAAATATGGAGAATATGATGATAAGAAAGAATATTGAGAAATAGAGAAAGGAAGAGCGGTGAGAGAAAAGTGGAGATCGGAGCCGTGAGAATCGCTTACCTGTTACGTCTTCTTCTCTTCATTATTATATAAATAAAAAGTTTTATTTATTAATATGATTGTCATTCTAGTTCAAACTTGAAAACAATAGTTGACCACCAATTTGCAAATGTCCTTCTGTTTACGTGTTCTCTAAATAAATAAAGTGTTTATATATGTGAAATCTAGCTTTGAGGATTATTTAGAAAAAAAATACAAGAGACAAATAATATATATAAATATACACTTTTACTTATGGAATTAATGTTTATTGTTAACCAGTAACAGATTCGCTGGTAACATAAAAGCATGGGCACCCATTAATCTGTATTTCTCACTCATATATCTCCTCCTCACTTGTCTCATTGTAATTACTAGTTTGCATTAATTTTATGGCCAGATTACAATATAAATTTTATTTACATGATACAAAATTGTACTGACGAGAGGTTGTGGTAGTTGGTTTAGTTGAGGGGTGAATTGGGTGGGTGAGGTTGGCAACAAAGAAGAGTCGGTGGCACGTTATTGTTAGTCATGGTTGAGTTAAAATCAGATATGTCAAAACGGGTCGGGAGGTGGGCAGAGCAATGGCCAGCCCGGCTCAATCCCACTGCTGACCAGGCGAGCTGGCCCACCAAAATTGAAGAAAAGAAAAGAAATGGGCTGGGCTGTATGTTGGATTGTTTGGGCCATGGGGTTGAAGAAAAAATAAATGGGTCATTTTTACATTCTTGCGTGTGATATTTGTAAATAATTGCATATGGACGATGATAGAAAAAAAAAATTCACTATTGCCATATCTTGAACAAATAATTAGAAACATGCATATTATCAATTTATCTTCTTTGATTTCCATAACTGACAACAATTAAACTAATTTCTCTCACATGGTAAGCAACAAAAACACCTTTCACGTAGATTAGATTGCGAAAAAAGAGGGAATCTAATTGGTATCTCCTTTTTTATATTTTCGGTCATATACACCAGTCGAATAATTATTTTCGGATAAATATACTATCTATATACAAAATATATACCGCAAACATATTCTAAAAAACAACACAACAATAAACAGTATATATACAAAAAAATATACAATATATACCGATCCTTGTATATGTATATAGGAGTGAGTAGTATATTGTTAATAGGAGTGAGTAGTATATATTAAATAAAAAAATTAAAGTGCTTTTCCAACAATTTTTTTTTTTAAATATATTCATTCAACAAGATAAATTAACAAATTTAGAATAAAAAAGCTATAAAAAACATTATTCANTTTAGATATAAAAATAGTTAATTTAAAAAAACTTAATTAATTAATTAATTAATAATAATAATAATAATAACAACTTTATTTTAGATTTTTTTTTGAATTAGTGTTATCCTTGGTATAAACCACTTTTAATTCTAACCAAATAGTCAGAATCTTGCAAGGTTGATAAGCAAACCACAGATAAATATAATCTTAAATAATAAAAACAATAACAATAAAACAAGGCAGAAAGACAATACTTATAAAGAAAGTACACACTATCTTATGTAAATTACATGCTAAAATATATTATCCAATTTAAATTTAAGATTGGACTTAAAAAAGTTAATGACATTTCATATGACTACTAGAAAACAAAAATTAAAAAGAGAACAAAACAACACTTATTAGGGACAAGTTATAACTAATTGTGAACAACTATTTCTCAAATTTCAAGGAATTATTTAATCTTTTCAAGAAAAAACATCTCTGAGATGGTTATTTTCTTGATATGATCATGTCATATATATTATAATTAGTTGGACTAACATCTTAAAAATTGTTCAATTTTAAATCTAATCATATATGTATATATACATGCTCCGAGAATATCTACGCGGGCTAAAGCTCAGGAGGAGGGCTACATGGCTCCACCCATGACTCGGTTGGACTCATTAAGTTCTCGAACTCAAGCTCGAGCGGGTTAAGGGGGGCTGCTGTGAGTTATTAACAGCAGCTCCAACAGCTCTTTTTCTGTCCTTGATCATAAATTAGTTAAAAGACAATCTAATGGCTATAAATAAATAAGGAATAAAACATTAAATTTGATAAGTTTAACCTAATAAGTAAATTGGGGGATAGCAGCAGCAGCGGGAACACATCAAAGAAATGGAAGACTTGCTTTCTGAATAAGATTCATCCAAAAAAAATCTTGAAACAACATCAATATGGTTGGATATGATCACAACAGATGAACTTTTTCAAGATATTGGCAAAAAAATGGAACCTTGAAAAAATGCCGATTTTTTTTTTTTTTTTTTTNCCATATTTTTTTTTAGTTGGTTTTGATAAGGATTATATTATTGTTAATGTAATGAAGATAATATTTTAAATGTTTAAGAAATGTACTTGTGCTCTATCTTCTCCATTTTCCAATTTTGGTGTAAATGGACGAGTATCAGTGCAAGGAAATTGGAATATCCTCTTTACGTCAATAGTCAATAGAAGACAACATGTGGCAAGCTTCTCAATAGTTAAAAGTTCAAACTGATTTCTTTTGTTTTATTTATTAATATTTAAATTTATATAATATTTTTAATAATAAATTACATATGTGAATTCCTAGACAATGAGTATGACCTGTTGGGTTATGTACTAGATTCCTTTGTGTATTTTATTATTAACTAATGTTAGGTTATTTGCGAAAAAAAAAAATAAATTGTTATGTTACATTTTCTCTTCAAGCTCATTTTGTTCATAACATGTTATGCTATGTAATTTTTATGGGTCTTTGTTTTATAAAATAACATAATTTTGTGTACTTGGGGTTTGGATATTTATTTGCATAAACATCCATTTGATACGAGACATTAAAAGAATAGGCTTTGTTTGCTTCTATTTTCATGTTGGTTAATATGTGATTATGTGCTTCTAATTTTTGTGTGTATAATATGCTTTATGTAGGAGTAATTTGAGCTCTGGGGATGGTGCGAAAGACATCACTTTTGAAAAAAAAAATTAGTATTGATGAGGAGATGGTTGAAGATGTTACATACGGTAACTTTTTAAATAGCGGTCGAAACGACGAACCAAGAATTGGAATAAATTTTGATACGCTTGATGAAGCATGGGAATTCTGGCAAATTTATGGGAAGTCAATGGGATTTGGGGTTAGAATACATTATCGCAACAAAAGCCAAAAGGATGAAGCATATAATAATGCAGTTTTCGTTTGCCGTAAAGAGGGTAAAAGAGATGAAGACAAAAGAAGGGCAGGAGTTGTGCATCGATGGGAAGAAAGAACGTCATGCAAGGCCAGATTAAATATAGTTTTGGAGAGGTCAAGTGGTAAATACAAGATCAAAGAATTCGTTCGAGAACATAATCATGAACTTGAGCCTCCAGAGACGAGTCACATGTTGAGATCCCATAGGCAAATAACTCAGGCTGCCGCTGCCGCTGCCGCAATTGATTTGGCACATGATGCAGAACTCACCCCAAAAGCAACACATCATTTGATGATTAGAGAAGCAGAGGGTTGGGATAAGCTCGGATACATAATGGAAGACCAAAAGACTTATTTGCGGTCGAAGAGAGAAAAACACATGGTGTATGGAGAGTTGGGAGGTATAATTAGATACTTTGAGCAGAGAAAAGGTAAAGACCCTTAATTTTTTTATTCAATGCAATTTGACAGTGACGAACTAGTCACTAATATATTTTGGGCTGATTCTAGAATGATTGTTGATTATGGTGATTTTGGTGATGTAATTACATTTGATACAACCTATGGAATAAACAAAGAATTGAGGCCCCTGGGTGTATTTACGGGATTTAATCATCATAGACAAATGGTCATTTTTGGGAGTGCACTTTTGTACAATGAGACCGCCGATTCTTTTGTTTGGCTTTTTGAAACTTTTTTAAATGCTCATGGAGGTAAAGAGACTCAAACTATTTTTACGGATCAAGATGCCGCTATGGCGAATGCTTTGGAAAAAGTATTGAAAAACACAAGACATGGGCTACGCAAGTGGCATTTGAATCAAAATGGAATCAAACATTTGGGTTGACGTATGAAAGATGATTCTTCTTTTTTAATGGAGTTCAAGAGGTGCATGTTTGAATATCTAGAAGAGGATGATTGTGAAAGGGAATGGAAAAATTTACTTGATCGTTATGATTTGCACAATAATGAATGGTTATCCCGTACGTACGACTTGAAGGAAAAATGGGCCAAATGTTATATGAAGTATGCATTTACCTTCGAAATAAGAAGCACTCAACTGAGTGAGAGCTTGAATAGTGACTTGAAGTTCTACTTGAAATGTGATTTGAATATTTCTGATTTTTTCAAACAGTTTGACAGAGTTATCGATGAAAAAAGAGAACGAGAGCTTAAAGCCGACTTTGATGCGAGACAAAAGTTGCCTCCATTGGAAAAAAAAAAAGATGACACTCGAAGTCCGCATGAGTACGTGGTTTATCTTCATGGTTCAAGAGAGAAAGAGATGAAGGTACTCTTTGATCCTACAAAAGAGTGGGTTGTTTGTAGTTGTAGAAAGTTTGAAATTATGGGAATATTGTGTTGCCATATCTTGAAAGTATTTATTGTCCAAGACGTGATGTGCATTCCACAAAAGTACATATTGGCCAGGTGGACAAAAGGAGTGAAAAGTGCCCAAAACTTGTATAAAGAAAATTCTAATGGTGTGGAGAATGCTACGGAATGGGTTCAAATGCTTCAATCTCAACTCTTACGGATGACACTCCAAGCTTCCACCCATGAAGTGACACGCAATTGCATGGAGAAAATGGTGAGTGAATGTAATAAGCAAATTTTTGCTTTTACAACGAAAAATGAGAAAGCCAATGAAGAAGTTCCTTCATTCAACATAGAAGAAAAACTTGAAAATATGAAAGGTTTGAAGAAAAGGGACGGGAGAAGAAGAACAAAACGACCAAAGAGTTGGGTCGAAAAGCTTTCTAGGAACTCCAAAAAATAAATTCATCAAAAGAGGTAATCGTTATTTTTGTTTGTGTTTGATAGATAACATTAATACAATATATTTTATATATATATATATATATATTATTTTTTTCTTTTGTCATGAAGCCTTGTCCGTCGCTTACCGATTCTCAAGAAAACATGAATTCTAGAGTTGAGATGCACCATCTACAAGAATATGTGAAAGATGGTGTCGCTTCATCCAATTCGGTGGTATCTCAAATCTANTTAAAAAAAAAAAAAAAAAAATAGTTACATTTATTCAATAACAAATTCTTATTATTTATTTTTTATGTATTTATTCAATTTCAGGCACTGCAAGAAACTGAGATCGGAGGCTACTTCAAGAGAAATGCATGACAATTATAAATTATCTTTTAGAATTATAATAGAATATTTTTGTACTCGTCAATGGTCATCCTCTCGTTAGACCAATCGTCATTATTTTAACTAGGGATAATTACACTTTGCCTACCTAACTTTCCGGAAATTTACACTTTGCCTACAAAACTTTGTTTTCTTACACTTAGTCTATTTAACTTTGCATTTTTTGTACACTTTGCCATTTCCGGTTACCGCCGGCCTCATAATCCAACACGTGGCTTTGGTGTCTGATTGCCACGTGTGGCCGGAAATGACCGGAAATGGCAAAGTGTACAAAAAATGCAAAGTTAGGTACGCTAAGTGTAAGAAAACAAAGTTTTGTAGGCAAAGTGTGAATTTCCGGATAGTTAGGTAGGCAATGTGTAATTATCCCTTTTAGCTAATAACTTTCTTGAAAAAATTGGTGAATATTTCACTAATGTGTTGGATTTATGTTATTGTACACTAAGGGCATGCTTGTTTATGAAACAATTTGCTCAAAATGAGTTATTTTGATTAACTAGAGTTAAATTTGAAAAAAGTGGTAGGGTTAGTTGTTAGTGGGATTTTAATAGTATATTAAAATAATATTTAAAATATAATAATTATTAATGATTTGATGTAAAAGTAGGATATAAATGATTGCAAATGATAGGTAGTTAAAATTACGTGAGTGGATGAATAGTGAATTAAAGTTGATGTGTTATGTAAGAATGATTGGTTTATAATATTTAATTATATAAATAATATAAATGATAGTGGAGTTGAGTTAAAGTTGAATTAGATTTTGAGTATGAAATGAATTATTTCATAAACAAGCATGCCCTAATTTATTTATGTTCTCTTAGTTTTATTGTGGTCTGTGATGTATTATTATCATCTTGTCTCAGTATGCATCATGGTCTCAATTCGAATGATAATTTTGAGCTACTAGATTGTCTTTTATTTAAGTTTAGTTCCTTATTCCTGAATACATTCTATCAATAATGTCATGACTCAGATTGTCTTTTGGCTCTTACAACAAACTGTCTCCATGTAAACTTGTTCCTTTGTGTTTTGCACATAACCAACAATAATAATACTCTCCATTTGCTTTCTTATTTATATAATCCAAACCATTCCGAATAGATAAATACATTCATCCATGTTTGGTGGGGATACTTGTAGAGATATTATTCAAACATATTTATCATTTTATATATGAGCATACACATCTAAATATAAATTTCCCTTCAAACGCGGCTGCTGGCTTCGGGGCTTTATTTTAAAACTCTTCAAGACTTTTGAGTTCATCAACAAATATTTTGTCATGTCAAGCTCAGGTTCCACACCTTCAAATCCATACATTGCAACATATTTAAGATGTGATATCAGGCATGTCGGCACTTGTTTCGGTTCCACCCAGTAGTTCAGATCCTCCTCTTCGAACTGATACTTCAAAAAATAAAAAATAAAAAAGAAACACAAAAAAATGTTCCTCAATAATCATTAACCAAAGTCTAGAAAGAAGAAATCCAAAAGGAACTTACAAGCAATGTGATGGGCAGAACTTCAAGATTATCAGCATTTTCAAGAAAAACCGTTACAAAGCCCTCATAAGCCTCCTCCAACACAAGCTTGGTCAAATTAGGAAACTTAACATTCAAAACAGAAAATTCAGAGATGGTTATCTGCCAAAAACAGAAACAATGCACTCAATACCATATATAAAACCAACATGGGATGGGATTTCCATCTAAATAAAACTCAGCAAAATCATCATACTCACATTCATAAAATCAACTTTTGTTTAAAATCAACACATTCATCATACTCACATTCATAAACCCAACAAAGCTTACCCACAAACTCCAACACATACCTCGAAGAAGGTCCCATCTGTATCCCGAAATTAAAATCAATACTGGTATTTTCGGTAAATGTCATAGTATTCGATACTGGTATTTTCGGTAATGTTACAACTGATTGACAGACGTTTAAGAGTGAGTGAAGCTACATCACAATATGTAGAATGATTTTCTTCATACCCTGTCTCAATTTCCAACTCCTCAAGAACCGGACACCCGAAAAGCAGGTTCGGGAGGGACTTATACGATTCATAGCTGACAATTTCGAGTTTAAGATTCCTAAGGGCGGGCAGGGACACGTCTCCGGAGTCCGGAATGTAGCACAAACCGAGGCTCAAATCGACTAGGGTTTTGCAGGAGAAGATGATTTGGGACAACTTCGTATCTAGGCACAAATCGAGGCTCAAATCGACTAGGCTCGTAATCGCACATATCTGTGAGGTGAATAAGAAATGTGTCTATGGTGGGGCTTTTGTGAGCGGATAATACCTGGTTTAGCGCATCGTTAACTAAGTCGATTTCGGAGAAGTATAAGACGGGGACGTGGGCCCACAGATTCCTCCATCGTCTCGCGAGGACGCTGGTCGTGATGGAGTCGATCGCCGGGAAGAATGAGAGGGTTTTGTAGATGACGTCGTCTGGCAAGGAGCTGAGCCTGTCGATCGGCGACGTGCTTTTCTTGCGCTTATGTTTTATTCCTTATTTATTTATAGCCATTAGATTGTCTTTTAATTAATTTATGATCAAGGGCTGATAAAGAGCTGTTGGGGCTGCTGTTAATAACAGATTTATCTCCAATATGCTATCTACCAAACGGGACCAATGACTCACAGCAGTCCCCTTAACCCAGCTCGAGCACTTTAAGTTTGAGTTCAACTCGACTCGTTTATAGCTATAAGCATACCTCCCATAGGACCTTTGCTATTAACCACACACACAAAGGACAAAGGAAAAACGTCCAAGAACAAAATGTGGAAAAAGAACAGAAAAATAGCAGCGAAATAAATATCTTAAAACGAACTTTATCTCTCCCTCTCCTCGTTCTCGCTCTTGGCTGCAACAGAGCAAGGCACTGTAAATGAAGTTGGCTTTGATAAGCAGTTTCAGCAGCAGCCGTCCAATCCATGTTTCGGGACTTAATCCCGCACCCCGTAAATTTCATGGTGAGTTTCGTACACAAATCCATTGTATTTGCAGATGTTCGCCAAAATTCAAATTTCATTAGATTTCACCTTTTTTTTTTTATTTATAAAAAAAAAATATATTCTTCTGATAGTAACTCGTTGTGAGAAGCACCCGACTATTCTCCAGTATGAGCCTGCTAATGGTGAAAATACATCGCTTTCCATGGTTAGAAGAATTGATTTCATGAGTGCAGTCATAAGTTGTTCTGCAGGTACTATTCCTGCGTTCTTGTGTGTGTTACTCATTTATTTGCACCATACGATGTTCAAATCTAAATATGAATTTGTCGAACTTCAGTTTTAACTTTCTATTTGTTATTGAATGTGCTCCGTTGGGGGGTGGGCTTCATTCGTTTATTTCGTTAATAATATCATGAATGATTTATGATTCAGAAGTAATTTTATTTGCTGTTGAGTTGTAGTTTGTAGCAACACTGAGCATTCCATATTGGATTATTGCAAAAAATTATGCTCTTAATCGGCCTTTTAATGTTTTGCAGCAACTTCGATTGCAACTCCAGTAGCGAATGCTCTAACTACAGAGACTATCACAGTAAGAAATTTAATTGTCAGTGATAAAAATAATTAAATATCATCCTGTAGTCATCACTTGCTGCTTATGGTTTATTCTTTTCAGTCCCTTGAGGAAGTCCCAACTCTCTCCCACACAAACAATTTCCATAGTTAAACATTTTAGTAAGCCAACAATTTCATTTCTAAGTTGTACCAACAGCACGAACTAGTCCAGAAATATTTCCCGATGTTTGCTAATTCCATTTCTTGACTGTTAGATTACCTCTATCTCATTGATGTTGATTCATATAGTTGGCCTCGATTTTTTTATCTTCATTACTGCCCTGATCCCTTTGTGTGAATTTCTGGGAACTATGGGGAAGCTCTTAGCATTCTCAGTTATTTGATTAAAAGTTGGAACACTTGTTTTGGCGACTCAAGGTCTTCACAGCTTGCCTTTTTTCTGAATATTAGCATGGGATTTGGAAAATGATACATCATGGTTGCACAACTTGCACTACGCACCACACATATCTCTGTTTTAACGTAATTTGAAGATGTCTTTCAGCGTTCATTTGATTGCTTATACTTTTCTATTATTATATTATTTTTGGGGATCAGCAATTGCCAGGTTCTTTGCACACTCTTGCTGAAGGGAGCAATGGAGATTGGCTTTCAGGTCTCCTATTTTCAGCTGGACAACAAGCTAACATAGCTGTGCAGGACCAGCTGTCAGCCCTCAGTTTTACTAGGTTTTGTTTCTGTTTCATTTATATTCTGCTTTGAATCAGGTGTACCCTTGATATTGCAAAATGTTAATTTCTTGTAGCTTTGACTTATATCTATAGTGCAGTTTGGCAGTCATTTTTGGTGCCGGGCTTGTGACTAGCCTTTCACCATGTACACTGAGTGTTTTGCCCCTTACCCTTGGCTACATAGGTAGGAAAACTTTTGGCTTAAAGAGTCTCATCTCTGCTACAATACAGACTACACAGACTTTTGATTCTTACCTTCTTTATTTTCTGCTTTGTTTTAGGGGCATTTGGCTCCGGAAAAAGCAGAACAGAGGTAAGTGAATTGTTTTACATACTTATAAAACATATGCAGTAGCATGGAATTTTCTATTTTTCTCATATTCTATTGAATACCCTGGAAGAATCAGAAAATGATATTAAAGTAGTAAGGGGTTTGTTAACAATAGTGGATAAATGATTATCTAGAAGGATCAGAATTTGGAGGTTGAAGTGTGAGTTCTTATACATATAATTCTAAATATTGTGTTAATATCAGTTTGTGTACATTTCTGCAAAATAGCGTCGTTTCTTTTTTCTCTCCCCAAAATTCTTTGTATAATTTTTGGTGTTTTAAAATGGACAGGCTATTGGTAATTCAATTTCTTTTGCAATGGGATTGGCAACTACACTGGCTCTGTTAGGCGTAGCAGCTTCATTTGCTGGAAAGGCTTATGGCCAAATAGGGCAGGGACTACCTTTGGCTGCTTCTATTTTAGCAATTGTCATGGGCTTAAATCTTTTGGAGGTAAATAATACTACTACTGAAGTTTTATATCTTTGTGTTAAACACGTTATTTGAATGGATCTTCTTGACATTTTGATCATCACACAGAACCGATGCCCTTATATGCTGAATATTCTCACAATGGGTTGTTTAATTAAAATAAAAGCATTGAAGTAAGCATAGCTGCAAACTTGCAGGATGATTGGCATTTTAGCAGTCAATAGTCCCGGGTTTCATAAAAGTGTTTTAACGTATTTTAGTCGGTCATAAAGTGATGCTCTGATAGAGAGATTTCCATTCGTGTTGCAAAAATAAACTGATCACTTTCATTTTTCTTATAAAAACATTATCATTTTCTTGACATTCTTGCCTTTACATGGTAAAATTATTTGACTTGGAACATCTTGGTTCTCAAATCAGCATTCAACAAATTAAATTATTTCAGCACGAACTTTGTCATGAAAAATTATATTAGTTATTTGAGAGTGATCTTCCCATGTTTGAACATGTTACTGACTTCATATTACTATACTTGAGAACTTAAAACCCACTCACCCCACTACCGTGAATTTCCCACACTTAATATTTGATATCAGTCATAACTATCTTCTCTTTGCTGATGCAGGTTGTTGAATTGCAGCTCCCTTCTTATTTCAACAACTTCGATCCCCGTGCCGCTGCTTCTAATTTTCCTTCAAGTAATTAAGCTTCCTAACTTAACAGTCATTTGATTCGGAAGTAACATCTTAGTTGCCTCACTTATGCCTCACTCATCAGGTGTCCAAGCATATTTGGCTGGACTAACCTTTGCATTAGCGGCATCACCTTGCAGTACACCAGTGCTTGCATCCTTGCTTGCATATGTTGCCTCGACCAGGGTACTTATCATCTTATTTCCCTTTTTTTTTATCATTTTTTTATGTGGAAATTAAGAGTGTAGATTTTTTGTCTTTTCTTCAATCTTCATGGTGTTAGTCAATTGATGCTATTATACATGGAAACAAACTTTGGGCATAAATTGGATGGGTTAATTATAAAAAAAATTCCTTAACTATTTATATTTATTCTCTCGAATTTTTGGCTCCGTCATGTTAGAATTAAAAGTAATCTTCCAAACTTATGATATCATAAAGAGGGAATATTTAATACACAGGATCCAGTGGTAGGTGGGAGCCTTCTGTTGACGTACACAACTGGATATGTTGCTCCTCTTCTTCTCGCTGCTTCTTTTGCTGGAGCACTGCAGGTACTAATTTAATACATCATAAATCTAAAGTTACTATTCAAAAGATGGCGAAAATTAGCTACAATATTTGAGATTTTCAAAATTTTCAATGCAGTTTGGTGAAATCTATGGCTTTGCAAGAGGCCGATTTTAGTTTGTTTGTATCCCTACACTATTCTTATGTTACGTATTTGCCAATTAATACAGAGCCTTCTTTCATTCCGTAAGTTTTCAGCATGGATCAATCCAGCAAGGTACTTACTAAAACTTTATTCTGGGTTTATTACGTAAAGTACCCTTGAAATTTACCCTATTCATAAGTTAGAAGAACATTTCACAATGCCCTCACACATTTATAGAAGTTTGACAGTTAACCCTTAATTTTATCACTGAATCAAACCTTGGGGGCAAATTTCATGATTGTGAAAGTTATTGCAGTTGTATTATTTGATTAGGATTTTAAGTGACATTTTAAGACTTTTTAAGATTTGAGATTTTTTAAGATTTTCAGATTTTGGAGGAATGATGTGAAACCTAAGTCTGGAGGTGGGATTTGAAGTGGGATTTCGTATAAGGTTTTTTGTTTAGAAATCCCACCAAATCTTAAAAAGTCTTTACAAATCCTAGTATCAAATAAGTTAAATACCTCAGAATTTTGGACGACTTTTTTAAAATCTCAATTGAATACCCCCAAGACTTTTAATAGTCTTAAAAAGTCTTAGCAAATCTAAATTGAATACATCAGTATTTCTAAAGTCTTCAAAAGTCCTTAGAAATCCCAATTGAATTGAATACACCCCGTTAGTTTTCTTTTTCATGTCAATGCTTAGATGACTTCCAGTTGGTCTTCTGTGCTTTCTAATATTGAAATTCAAATTTTCCTTTTAGTGGTGCCCTCCTCCTGGGTGGGGGTGTGTACACCCTGCTGGATAGACTTTTCCCGGTTACTATGGCTATGTGATATACCTTGAAACTTGGTGGAAATCCAAACATTGGAGATGCTATATGGTGTCGTTTAGCTGTATACGACAACCAAGTTTTATCAGTGCAAATCTGAATGACCAGACTGTACAGAATAATGTTGTACAATGCTACAATGTTGTTATCTCGACGCATATGGAAGTTGTGCAGATTCTCTTTCATGGATTTGTGTGTGTCATTTGGAGTGTAACGTAGTTGGGAAGCTCCATCATCTATATCATATGAAAAGGTTTTTATTTACTAGAAATAGTATGAATTTCCCGTCAAAAAAATCTTGCGTACGTAATATGGAATAATTTTTTAACATATTTTTTTTTTTTACTTTTGGTAATTTTTTCTACCAGGATGCTTTTATTTTTATTTAGGTAATGTTATATTAATAATTGATTTGAATCTATTGATTAATTTTTTTAATGAAAATTAATCAATTATTTTATTTCAACATAATATATTTTTATTTTTAGTGACGTAATATCAATAATTTGGAAGATAAATTTTTTCAAAATTTACAATCATTCAATCAATTTCTAGCTGATCTAGAATTTCATTTGAATTGAGAAATATAAGTTAATGAATGTGTAACGTTATAGATTAATCACTTCAAAAATAATTGTTTGTTAATTAGAAAAATAAAATAAAATATTTCTTGATACGCTTAAAATAGAAAATGTTCTAACTATGATGTTTTTTTCCTATTTAGTTTCTACATAGTTGTCTTTTTTCTTACTTTTTCATTCTTCCTATTAAGTATTAGTGTCATTTTTCTTTAAAAACTTAATACTTAATAATATTTTTATTTGTTATCCATTTTTGTATATAATTTTAAATTAACTTTTATTTGACTATCTTAAAAAATAATTGTTAATTAAAGTATCTGTAAGTTTATTTGTTAATGTTGCATATATAAAATGAAGTAAATTTATAATTCAAGTATAATTCACAAATAATGAATTAGTCTCAAATTATTCATAAAATAAGGTATAAATGTATGTATAATAAAATATATTTATTATAAATTAATATAACATAGTAGTTAGTATATTTATCATTCATGGGTCTAATAAATTAATACTAAAAAAGATATAAAAGTATAAGTAAACAATTATTTTGAGGATCAAGTATATAAGATATTAAGAATATAAAATCAATTAGTCTTTTGTCCAACTGTCATGCAACTTATTAGATTGCAATGAATCAAAATATTTATAATATGTATTGTTATTATTTATGATAAACCAATCCATTTAAATTTATAAAAATAGAGAAGAAAAAATTAAAAATTTATAATATATATTATTGCAAAACTATAATAATAAACCAACAAGTCATCTATCGAACAATGATGTACATCGTCAACTTAGAAAAAAAATTTAAATTATGTATATTGTTATAAATTATAATGATGAAACCGTTGATGTCCACTTGTCATATGCATTATTTTATTAGCTAAAAAATAATTTATAGTATACATGATTATATAGTAAAAAAAAATAATTTTAACGTAATTAAAAATTTATAAATATATAGAATTTGGATCATATGAGAAAGGGAGTTGGTGTAAGAAATAAGAATAATTATACACCTTTAGATTTAATGTATCAATGGTCAAGATTAAGTCAAAATTTAAATATTGGTATTAAATAAGTGATGGCAATTTCGTAAATAAATAGACACTTCATGGTTAAATGTACACATTTAACCATTAACTAAGGCTAAAGTGGTAATTACCTATTTGCATTCACATTACATGCGGGCCCCACCTCCACTCCACCAATCTTCAATTTCTCTCTCACATACACCCACACACTCATCTTCATTATTGAAGCTCGCCACCACCCGCCGCCATCTCCGACGTCCGACGCAGCTCCTCCGGTCACCACCAGAGTCAGCCGTCGTCCGCCATAAACACGATGGTCCATTCCACCGCAGACAGCCGCCGGTCAGCCTCCGTCCAAGCTTCACGCCGGCCAGTCGTGTTTCTCCTTCGACGAACACTGCCGGAAAAAGCTTCGCCACTGCAACCAGCCTCCTGTCGTCTTCCTCCATGGACATTTACTACCAGCCTCCCGCCGCTCAATGCACCAGACCGTCAGCCGGGAATCAACCGAAAAAAAAAAATCACTAAAAAGCTCCTTTCCGGCGGCTCTGCCCGGACAAGTCGGCCGTGCGAGGTGGTCGACGGCGGGCGGGGGCCCGACATTCCCTGTCAGAGCTCCTTTCCGGCGACTGATTCTTGTTTCCAAGTTGTGAGGCACTGCGGCGGCGGCCGGACAAGGTGGCTGGGAGATGGGACTGAAGGCGGCGGGAGTCCGGCTGCTGGCTGCAGCCGACTGCGTGTGTGTGTATTCTGTGTGTGTGTGTGTGTGTGATTTTAGAATTTTTCTGGTTTTTATTTTTTATTTTTCTTACTTTGTGGGTTTGGGGCTTTTTGGTGGAAATTAGACAATCTATAGGGGCTTTTTTTGCAATTTTAGAACTTTTATTAGATTATATTTTAAGAGTGGGAAAGTTTTGTAATTTATCAAAAGTTCAATATATTGCACATTAACAATACACGATATGCACGATATTGTGAATTTACGAGCACATTATAAAAACTGTTAAATTTTTTTAAAACTACATACTACATAGTTATTAAAAGGTCGTATTATTAGTCGGTTTGGCTTAATCTAACGAGACAATGTCGAAACCGGAATAATAGAATAAATATTATTTGTATTATAAAAACATATTGGTTGTTGTAATATTTTTTATTTAAAATTTTATATTAAAATTTTATTAAGAAATGTAATATTCTATATAAACAAAATATAATGTGCAATCTAGAAATTATTAATGTGCGAATATTCTAACACAACAGTGCAAGGTGCCGGTCGGTATTAGTTTGGTCGGCTTCTGTCGATATCGTGCAATACGACATTCATTATTGTGCAACCCGTCTAATAGTAAAGTGCACCCACATTGCAGATATTTTTTAATGATGTATCCCAAAACAACCTAAAAGCAAAATAATCGATTTATTTTGACATGTTAATTGAATTAACATAAATAATCAAAATAATTTATTATTTATATTATAACAAAATATAATATTTGTATTCTATATTTTATAATATTTTTTGGTTGAAAATATGTAATATATGAAATACCAAATTCAATAATGTGCGATCTATTGGTCACTAATGTGCAATCTGACTAACACTAATGTGCATTCAAATTGTATCTATTTTTTTTATAAAAATATATTTAGTGTTTTAGTATTTTATTTAATATTTATATTATATTTTTATTGAAAATATAATATATAAATAATGTTAAAAGGTTTATGTAATATTTTTATATTATTTTTTTTTTGTTGAATATACATAACACACATGTATAAAAAAATGCATATAACAAATAGTATTTTTATATACTTTTTCTAAATTACAGATTTGACCCATGGGTTAAATTGAAATATATTCAAATTTCCTAAATTGCAATGTTGTCCTTTGAGTTAATCTAATTCTCAAATGAATGCCCTGGAAATCAGAAAAATATTTTTATTTCTGAATTTCATGAATCTGTCCGGTCAGTTGCCATTGCTCAGCTGTTGGAACTGGACCTCTTCCCGCGGCGGCTAACGGCGGGTCTAGACGGTGGCGGCCGGTGGTGGTTGTCTGCGAGAGGCGAGTGGACGTCTACCGTGATCGGCGCCGGAGATGGTCTCTGAGACGCCGGATATGGCTGTTGAGTCGCCGGAGATGGTCGCTGAGTCGCCGGTCGGAATGTGTGCGTCGAGTGTGTGTGTGTGCCTGTGTACATTCTGTGTGTGTGAGTGGCGGAGGAAGCCCGTGGCGGTGGTGGCACTGGCGGCGGCGGCATAGGGTGTGGTTGCCGGCGATGGCGGGAGCCGACCTATGGTTGTGGCGGAGGCCGCCTCGTTACTGCGTGGTGTGGTGTGTGTGTCGGTGGTGTGTGTGGTGTGTGTGTGTAATTGAGAGAGAGGGAGAGAGAGTGACGGGGAGAGAGAGGATTCAAAGAGAGAGAGAGGTGCTGGGTAGTTGGGTAGGTGGCATGTGTATTTAAGGTGGAGTGGGGCCCATCAGTTTGAATGTAGCATGAAAAATTACTGTAATGTCCTTAATTAAGATATATGTTTGGCTTTTTTATAAGCTGTTAGATCATGCGATCCAACGGATATGATGTATTCTTATTTCTCTCACTGAGCACCATTCTCACTGGAGCGTGACCCTATATATATATATATATATATATAAGTGCGCTCAAATAAGAATGATAGATAGTGAAAAAAATAAGAATAAATCTGTACGATTGGATACCACATATCAATGGTAATGATCAAGTAAAAGTAAGTGAAATCTGTAATGGCAAATTGCGTAAATAAGTGTTTATTTCGTGGTCAAATATATACATTTGACCACTTAATGGGTTAGAGAAGACAATACACATTTTTCCGTGGGCCCCATCAACAACCCCACTAATCACACTCTCTCTCACACTTTACACCCAAAACACATACATACACACAGTTCGTATACACGCAGACTACACCAAGCACCGCCGTCCCACCGCCACCAACCGCTGTCGCGTCATCTCTGATCTCGTCCTGATACGAACACCGTCACCAGTACCTCCCTTCCATTACAGCACCGCCGTCCGCCACTGAGATGCCGGCAAGATGCCCCGTCAACAACCATCCGCCGAGGCCCTCAGCTTCTCCTCGCCGGCTGATCCGACGGCGGATGAAGCTCGCAGGAACTCCTCCGTGACAGAATCCAGCGGCAGCGAGCGGTCCTCGAGAAAGATGTCCCTGAGCTGCGGCAGTTCTATTGTTTCCGTTTGAGTTTCCCGATTATCCCAACCGACCTTGACATTGTCGACGAGTACATCCTGAACGGCGCTTGTGGATCGTTGAAGCAGTCGCAGAGAATTGGGATTGGGCTATTTTTTTGAAGAGCAGATCTAATTGAGAATTGGGATTGGGCTATTTTTTGTGAATTAGACAAATCAAAAGGACTTAGTTGCAAAATAAAAAAAAATCAACAATATTACATTCAAATTCATGGATTAAATATATCAATTAATAAAAGTCATTAGTTGCACATTAATTCTCATGCACAATACCACGTTTTAAAATTGCACAAATAATACTCTCATTAGTTACAGAATGCACAATAGTGGTCGATGAAATGCACAATAATGAATGTGGCGCAGACCCTAGTAAGATATTGTCCGCTTTGGGCTACTTCCGCCACCCGCACAGCTTTGTTCTTGGCTGGGCTTCAATACACACCCACCAAAACGCGTCTTACTAGTGAAGGTATCCACACCCTCATATAAGGCCTGCTTCGTTTCCCTTCAAACCCGATGTGGGATGCGCTGCATCAGAATGTCAATATGTACAATAGTGATTGAAACCAGCCGAACAAAAATTTTTGTTCGATTTTTTTTATACGCCGGTCTATTATTTGTTTTTACATTTAAATTTCCAGTTATCCCGGACAATAACGTGCATTCACACGGATACTAATGTGCATTTGGTATACATTATTGTGCAGTCCATTGATCGGTTAGTTTTTAGGTTATTTTTTATTTTTTATGTGCATTTCAATTTTAGAAAAAGTTACTAATGTGTAATTTAATTAACATTATTGTTCATTTATAAAATTATTTATAAAATTATTAATTTATATAATTTTATTTAATGTTTTATATTATTGCTTGTTGAAAATAAATAATATATACATAGATGAAAATATGGAATAATATTTTTATATCATTCGGGCGGTTCTGTTATTTCGCCTTTTTTTTTTAAATAAAGTCGAGACCGGACCGAAATAACTAAACTTTTAATATCTTTAAAAATTCACACTGTTATATTAACGTGCACTCTCGAACACATTAATGTGCACTTGTTCTAACAGTATTGTGCATTCTAACGGTTATTAATGTGCGACTTGTTTAATATTATTGTGCATTATGCAATGTGTGTTTTTTTTTTTATTTATGTGCAAATTCAAACTAAAATTGAATCCAAATAATCGATTCATTTGGACGGTTGACCGAGTTAGCCAAATAATAAAAAAAATCATTTTTATTTGTATTATAAAAAATATATTTAGTAATTTGATATTTTATTTTAATTTTTATACTATTTTTGGCTAAAAAATACACATTATATGATATAAAAAAATTATTTTCTATATAATTCAGTTAGTTTGGATATTTTGTTTATTTTAAAAATTATAGTCCAAATCAAACGTATATAATTCGGCTGGTTCTGATATTTTGGTTATTTTAAAAGTTATAGCTGAAATCGAACCAAAAATTAACAATAAAAAATAGATAAATATGGGGAATTATGATGTTTCATGGAGTGATATTTTTTAGTTTTGTTGGTTGAAAATATTATTGAGTATTCTTCAACACAATAATTCTTTGATGTACATTTTGTTTAGTAATAATGTACATTTATTAATATTTTTATAAATTACATATTAGTCACATAACCTAAATTGTAATTAACCAAACTTCTTAATTTTGCAAATAGACCCCTGTAATGATCTAATTTTGACACTAAAGCCCCAGCTCCAAAAATTCAGCCCGTCTTTTACACATCTCCTCCAATGAATCTGGTGTTCTTCTATCGATTGGGGCGGCGAGGTACGCCGATCGGAACCACAATCTTGGCAATCGTTGAGATGTGCTGGAGGGATTGGATCATCCAACAATGGCAGCGGCGGTCGTCTACAGTGTTGGTAGCCATTGTCGGGAAGGGGACAACAAAGATGGCGGCGAGATGGCGTGTGTCTGAAAATTTTTTCGGTTAGCGTCGCCGGATGAGACGACCTTCTCGTCGTCGGATTTCAGAGTCGGGGTCGGTGGATGAAAATAAAAGGCGTCGACGGGCGCTTGAGTCCTCAGGCATCGGCGGCGAGAGGCGAACGGCGCCATGGCTGCGCCGGCCCTTTGTGGGGTGGCCGGTGGCTGACAGTGACCGATTTCGTGTGTGTGTGTGTATGTGCTGGGTCTGTGTGTGCCGGCGTAGGAGAGAGAGAGGAGAGAAGAGTGACAGCTGGGCCTGGGGGTTTGAACGAGTTACTTGGGGGTGGGGCCCACTTATGTGTTGGATGGTTGGTGTGTGATTAAATGTCTATCATACCCTTAATAATGTTTAAATGCTGCTTGTTTTTTTTACTGTTGGATGACTAGATCTAATGGCTAAAATTTATTCTTATTTCTTTCATTGAACATCATTCTCAATGGAGCGCGACCCTATATATATATAATATATTAAACTATTAAATTCATAAAAAAATATAAAATTAATATTAATGTTCAAAACCATTTTTATACCAATGAATATTAGTTTATTGCTATAAATTATAGATTAGATCGTTAATGTCATGTGCATCACACAAGCTATGTCTAGTTTACCTGAAGAAAATTGTTAGTGATAAGGTTCCGTGTAAGTAGCTCCGTTCAGAACGGTCCTTGGTTCAAGGGTGCATCTTCCACTCCCCGGTTTCCGGTCTGAGATAAAGCTCGTCAGTACCTGCAAAGTACGCCGGAGGTTTCCCGGCGTAAAACCCTCCAAAGCTTAAGTTAGTATTTGAGAGACGAGTAGGGAAGAAGATGAATAGTAATGGTATTTTGGTGGTTGAATAATAAATGTGACTTGAATGTTTCTTACACTGTTTTCGTATATATAGGCAATTATCGCTTGAATGGTTATCTTAAAATATTACATTAATTCTCGGTTATTCACGAGGCCGAGGATCGAGCCTAAAGGCTTGATCAGAGCGAAGTGCATGGTCGAGCCTAAAAGCTCGACCACGTGAGATCGAGGATCGAGCCCCTCAAGCTCGATCACGTGAGATCGAAGGTCGAGCTCTTCAAGCTCTATCCCGCAACTGGACCGATTTTTAGGGTTGCGAATTTTATCTCGGGCGGTTCAATTTGTGTGTAGATATATCCCTATCAACTACTCCCCCCTATTTATGAGTGCACAAATATTTTCGTGGGATCATAAATATAGAGTAGTTTTTACCTATTTTTTATTCACACGGAGCTCGATCTTCTGCGACATATTCTTCAGTTTGGCCCCTAGACTTTATGCCTAATGTGGCTTTTAAGATAATGGACCTTGATACCGTTCGGCCCCCCTTAAACAAATAAATACAATTATTGATCCCCACCAAATATCATGTTTATGGCCCTTGGTTTTTTTTTTTTTNCGACCAGGCAATCAACATTGCCTTCCATTTAAGTGGCTTTAGAGCATCTCCAACCATGACCATCAATTGCAGTATATGTGGCAATTAGAAGAGGTTTCATCCACGTACAACAAATAGAAGTTCAAACCCATAAGGAGTCTCCAATGGTTCACTTCTATCTTCATATTATCACTCTAGCCGTTTTTAATTTATTGTTATTAATTAAAAATAAAAGAAGTTAGTGGGAGAAAAATTGTGAGTCATCATGTCTAGCAAGAGTTTTAAATGTAGAAGGAGTGCTAGAATTTATTCCCTCTCTCTCCAGCCCGTCATTATGATTAGCATCTAGACATTGAGGGTTGGAGACGTTTTTTATTGAAATTCTTCCACATTTCCACAATTGAAAGCCCATTGGAGATGCTCTTAATATATTATTGCTATTCACCATTCTCTCTCCTCCTTTGTACCTTTTTCTAGAGCCTTGTGCAAAAAT